TGATCATTTTCCTGATTTATTTAAACCATTCTGCTTGAGTAAGTCAGGTAATTTAAAAAATCATAGAACAATAATTATCTTTAAAAGCTGAGTGACTGCAGTACTTTTTAACAATATTAAAGTTAATCCAAATCAAAACTTAATAAAAACTTGTGATGACATCAAAGGTCCACATATTTTAAGTTTTAATAAGGGGAGACAGGCAGGAGTGTGAGTGAAAAAGTAAGTCCATATCTTCTGTTTTACTTAGTTTCTATAATGAATGAATCCACAAGAATTTCTGGAAACAGAAACAGACACATGTAAAAATTATCACTTAAAGTGTAATAGGAACTGTCACCCAAGCAGACGGCCAATGCCGTACCTCTGTATTTTAACACTTCTAAGATAGCTGGGAAGAGACTGCTGGTGGCCTAGTGGGTAGGAAGCTGTACTGCTACCCAAAGGCTGCAATTCTGATGGTTTGAATCCAGCAGTAGGTCCAAACAGTACAAGAAACACTTCTGAGTTGTTTCAACTTGATGCCAATGAGAGACAGAGAGAGGATAGTGAGGAACAGATTCAGAATACCCTCAAACTGATAACTTCCCAATCTGAGATACAGGTATCACACATTCTGCATCAAAAGCTAAGATAGAATATTAGCTAAGCTGTCAAATTCCATTAAAAAGAAAAATTTTTTACTATCATTCAAATAGTAATTTTTAAATGTCTTCAAATACTGGCCACCTGTAGCACACTCACCGCTGTCAGTTTTCTTTATTCCAAACATCTTGAATGTTCTGTCTTTCATGTTTCTTAAGAAACACACTCCTAGGTGGCAGTCCTTTAACTGCAACTGGAGTAGCTAGGTTTGAATTGTATCTTGACAAAATCTAAAATAAAAAGCAAATTTTTTTTCACCAAGTTTATAATCAACATAACAATGTTCATTTAGAAGGTGTGAAAATGTCAACAAAAGGCATAGGGGAAGAGAGAGCACTTACAGAAAAACTGCAGGTACAGGCTATTTACAATACTAATAATTTTTTAACACCACGTACAATACATCCCATAGCAAAGAGTAAAATACAGATTCAAATTCTAGCTTGTAGAGACTTGATTTCGAAAGCCTTCTAAAACAAACAATGCATTCCTAAAAGCAAATGAAGTTTTTACAAAGATGGTTGTGAAGTGTACATATAGAAAATATCTGGGAAAAAACACTCAAAAGAAAGAATTACGAGCAGTAGTTTTTTTCAGATACCAAAATGTGGCACCAAAAAAAATCACCCTCTCCTCACTTAGCAACATGATCAGGTGCCCAAGAGCAGACTGCTATGGGAAAACCAGTGTTATATGTCCAGAGGGAGGAAGGCCATATCAGACCACAAAATTTATGAGTAACTGCCAAACGGTCATCATCACCTGACCGCCAACTGATGAGGATCAAGGCCCAGCTGAGCTGATACATAACCTTTACCACCAGAGTGTTGCTCTTATCACCTCATTTCACACCACAGTGTTCATTACCACCAGACATAGATTGTTAATGTGAGGAGAAGGCGGGTAGATTTTTTTCACTATTGTGTAAAAGCAAAATGCTGGATAATAAGACATTTGATAAGTGAGGAGAGAGTAGAGGCTTCCTTTCTTTAATACGGAAATCCAAAATCTCTGTAAATGTTCATTAAAATTATTAAAATAAAATAAAAAAAAAAAAAGAAAGAAGAGGCTCCTTTCTCAGCCCAAGAAAAACCCAAGAAAGGAGAAAATAGGATTTTAACAATGTCTTGGGAAAAGAACATTCTAATAGCATTAGGTGTTTTATCCTTTTCTTTTTTCTTTAAATTTATTATTAATTTCAGTAAAAGTTTACAGAGACTTTGGAATTCCATTCATTCATTGTTGCACTTTTCTCCCCTCCCAACCCTCCCTGCCTCCCTGCTAGTACACTACCCTCCTGGAAAAGTAAAAGAAAAATTCTTTCATTGTTTTATAATCTCTTCCCCCAGGTCCACTCCACCATGTAGCCTTCGCTCTAGACTCCTGTCATGACAGAAATACCTAATCACATATCCCTTTTAAACAGTTTTCTCCCTCATCTGTTGCAATGCAGTATATACATTATTTATCCCATCTTTCTCAGTCTCTCCTCAACCCCAAGGTCAGTCCTGTTTTACAACAATGGCACCATGCAGTAATTGTCCTTTTATGACTGAGATACTTCACTTAGCATAATGTCCTCCAGAGTCACCCATTTTGAATACTCAATGAGTTCCTTGTTTTTCAATGTAGCGTAGTATTCCATTGTGTGAATATACCACAGCTTCTCTATCCATTCATTTTTTGATGGGCACTTAGGTTGTTTCTAACTCCTTGCTATTGTGATCAAAGCCACTATAAACATGGGTATGCAAATATCTGCTTGGATGTCAGTTATGGTCTCTTTGTGGTATATTCCCAGTAGTGGAATTGCTGGGTCAGATGGTATCTCTATTTTTGAGAAGGCGCCATACCGCCTTCCACAGTGGTTGTACCATTTTACACTCCCACCAACAGTGAATAAGGGTTCCAGTTTCTCTACAACCTCGCCAGCATTTGTTGCTTGTTGTTAAATTTTTCAGTTCTGACTGGTGAGATGGTATCTCATAGTTGTTTTAATTTGCATCTCTCTTAGAGCTAGGGATTTCGAACATTTCTTCATGTGATTGTTAGCCATCTGAATGTCTTCTTCAGTGAAGTGTCTGTTCATATTCTGTGCCCATTTTTCTATTGGATTATTCACCTTTATCTTGTTGTGATTGTTTTATCCTTTTCATGGCTTGTCCATAAATGAGAAAGATTTCTTGAAAGTCTATGAGGAATTCCACTTTGCAAAGCAAAGATTTCCAAATAAGACAACTCCTATTAAAGGGGAGGTAAAAGACTCCGACTACTTATTTTGCAGTTAGCAACTGTACACTAGTGATAAAAGATGCACTGAAGAGCCAGAGCTTCTAATATCAGAGATCAGTGTTTTTCTAAAACAGAGGTCTAAGAAGTCTCAAGTTCAAGAAAGGCTGAATATATTATGCACTCTGCATAATACTCTATTCTAAAATATTGTAAGGCAAATGGCATTTCTGCCTTTTCTAGCAATAGAAATGATGTGAAGTATAGTGGCTATGATTGAGTATTTATTAGAGTTTTAAAAAATTTATTATTTTTGTGTTTATAACGTCAAATCGGATCTGACTGGTACATGAGGAGATGGTCCCTCCTTCTCCAGCAGGGCATCTGGTGGATTTGAACCACATGCTTCTCAGATTGCAGTGCAGCTAGAAAACTTTTTTTTAAAAATTTAATTTTATTTCCCTTGTTGTGTACTGTCAAACCAGATCTGAATGGCACAGGAGGAGATTTCCTCTCCTTCTCTAGCAAAGCATCTATCTGGTGGATTCGAACCATTTGCCTTTGTAGAAAATGTTTTAACATGATATTAAAGAGAAAATATTTTGTGAGACAAAGCATAATTAAGCACGCTGAAATAATGAACTTGCTTACTGCAGAAGAGCCTGAACTAAGTTATCTTAGAAAAGCCTCACAGACCTAGAACTCAAGTCTGGACTCCACACCAGCACAGTAACTCGATGGTAAGGAAGACAGCATATCTATGGGGTTAAAAAAGAACACCTACCTGGAGAATGTCTTCTGGAATAGCAGTGACTTCTGGAGGTGTCGGTGTGCTCAGCAAATCCTCGTAAGAAGAAATCGTAGGAGAAGAAGGATCTGGAAGATTCTCAAAGGATTCTTTTGGATTTAAAACTAATGAAGCACAAACTTTCTCTTCCAAATTAATTGTTGAACTTACTGTTTCTGATGACAGATAATCTGTGGGTACCTACAGAATTGAGCACAATTCATTATTTTAGTTTGAAAGAGTGAAGTAAATGAAAATGTACTTTCATTTGTTAGTTTTACTGCAGTCTCTGGGTAGCCCCCAAATGATATACATTTTCCTGAGTTTTAAACAAAATTGAGAAAACCATGAAACGGCTTATGAAGACCAATTCCCAATTCCTAATAAAGGCTTAAGTTAGAGCTTAACATGAATATAGAATATTGAAAAACTAATGATTGAAACAGCTCTTTAAACACAAAGTTCAGTCAGATTAGAATATCATGACTGAATTGAGCCTTCCAACAGTACCTGAATGTAATCAAGTAACATGGAAACCTGCATGATTCCCCACCAACTGATAAACCAAGCAGGTGGGATCCTAAACCTTTAATCCCATCGTAGCATTGATCTGTAATGAGTTTCTCTACAGAGCCATTTATCTTTTATTGGAAAAATTAACCAGAGAAGACAACCATCAATATTGAGTGGGCACAGAAAATGCCTTTCTGTGCCAAGTGCCTGGGTTGGGAAACTCCTGGACCGAGCAGAGGGTCAAGGCATTTGGAGATCTCCAAGAATTGCTAGGCCTACAGATGCTGTAGGAGGCAAAGACTTGCCTCAGAATCAATGGAGAGAAGGTTTTCTCCCAGAGCCAGAATCCCGAATTTGCACTTCTAGATGTCTACACTTTTTAAGATACATCAGTCAAGCCCACCACGAGGCCACAGATTTCAGGCTGCACCCGTGTGAAGTGCATGCATCGCTGGGCCAATTTAGCATCAATTTTTATAAATATGTACAAATCAGATGCAAGCACCTGAAATGTCTTTCAGCCGGAATAACCCAACATTGCAAGATGACGTATTCACAATGACCAGGCTGGTGAAGCAGGCAATGATTATGATTCTCAAAATCTCTTGGGAAAATAGGCAGTGGCAAACTAGGCTTCAGCCAAAACCACTTTCTCAGGCAGAACTTGGGATTGTTCTGACCATCAGTAAGAGGTAGCTGGTATGCACAAGGTGTAGGTTTATTAGTAAGTGTCATCTGGAGCCATACCCATGAGTGAGCTTGGGGTTTAAAGCATGATATATTTTGCCAACCCCTATAACACCAGAAAGGACTGTAGTCTTGAGTGCATTTTGTGCTGGCATCACTGGAGCTTATGAGGCTCTTGTACTAGAGTATGGCAATGCTGTATGGCGAACACTGTGTGGTGGCTGCATGGTGATAGGGTAGACCCCAAGGGTGGCGGTAAGGGTCCTGCAGGCCTTGACCACCACCTGCTCACAGTGGCCATGCCAGGTGCAGTCTTCGGCCTCCAGGTGCTGGGCAGCATAAAAGTGATGCTGATCTCCTCGTGGACCCTCACCTGAGGGTCCGATCTGATGGCCCAGGATAGTGGCATTCAGGTAGGTGACATTGTGGGAGTACGCTGGGAAGGTTCTGAGAGGGTCCAGGGTTAGAGTTGTTGCAACTGAGATGTTGACTGGGCCCAGGTCCCCCAGGGCCTGGGGTGCCTGGATGGGTGCCCTGGCCTGCCCGCTGGTCACTATGTTTTCTGGAGTCATTATGTTGTTTGTGAGGTGTTCAGTTTCTCGTCCTCTGACATGCATAAGTCCAGGTGAAGCACTGCAGGAACGTGTTCCAGTCCTCCATCATCCCTGAGGACTTGATCTTGAAGAACTAGCCCAGGGTCAGGTAAGTGATGGCCATGGAACTGATGCTGACCATCAAGACCACCAGGGGCAGCTGGCTGCAGATGTACGGTTTCAGCTTCTCCAGGGGGTTGATGGTAAACTTGTTCACTCGTAGGAGCACGTGGCACCATCCTCCCACCTTGTTGCCCCCAGTGTGCAGCTCACCAGCTCAGGGGACTAACTACCAGAGACCAGCTTGGCTCACATGGCCCCAACCTGGGCTCTATTCTGGTTCCAGCCACTGTGGTTTCCAGGAATTAAAAAACATCAGAGAAATCCATTTATTATTTTTTTTTTAAGCCATTCACTTGCAGTGTCTAATACAGCAGAGGGGACAATCAAAAGACGTGTGGGGCAATGACAGGTGTTCTGGTAACCTCTTGGACGGTTTGAAGCCATCAGTGGCTCTAAAGGGAAAAGACAGGCAATCTCCTGTGTAATTTACGGTCTCTGAAAAATGACTGGAGAGTCGGCTAGGAGTGGTTTTGATTCAACATCAATGAGTTGACAGCTGAGTTAACCAAGACAAAGCATGACATAACACGAAAGAGCAAAAGTGCCAGGACATGCTGGCAACAGGAAGGCTCTCTCACAAGGAAGATGCTCTTAGCAAGCCGATTAGTCACAAGTAAACAATCAAATTAATCACCCCTTTTTCCTGGTCTAACAGCTGATAAAGGAGGCTGGGAACATCACATCTGTAGAGTGCCTTCCACATTGTTCAAAACCCAAGCAATGGAATAACTGTGAACAGATAAGCTGCTACTTCAACTGGTAAGACAACACAGTGTTTGCCTCCAGCTGTGTTGTAAGAGAGCTGCACCTCCCATGTGAACTATTAAATTTTAGAAAGTGTCTCAGATTCTCTAGCCATATTTTAAATGCTTGATAACTACATGTGGCTATTATTGTTGTTTGGTGCTGTTATGACCCACAGCGACCCTATGAACAACAGATCTGAACCCTGTCCTATCCTGTGCCATCCTCACAATCTCTGACATACTCGAACTCATTGCGGCAGTCACTGTGATTGAGGGTCTTCCTCTCCTTCGTTGTCCCTTCACCTTTCCAAGCATGATGTCCCTCTTCAATGAATAACTTCACCTAGCAACATGACCAAAGTATGTGAGATGAAGCTTTATCATCTTTGCCTCCAAGGAACACTCTGGCTGCACCTTCTCTAAGACTTATGTTTGTTCTTTGGAAAGTCCATGGGATATTCAGTACTCTTCTCTACATCACAGTTCAAAGACATCAATTCTTTTATCATCCTTATTCACTGTCTAACTCTCAGATGCATAGCAAGTGATTGAAAAGGCCATGACCTGATTAAGGGGCACCTCAGTCCTCAAACAGATATACCTGTTCATCAATAATTTGGAGAGGTTTTTGACTGTACACTTTCCCCATGCATAATGTCTCCTGATCTCCTGACTGCTGATACCATGTATACTGACTGTGGATCCAAGTTAGATGAAGTTGTTGACAGTTTCAATCTTTTCTTTGTCTATCATGATGTTGTCTATCGGTCTAGTAGTGAACATTTTTGACAATGAAATGCATTTGATCTTCTGCAGCACAAAGATTACTGATAAGTATTCCTCCAATCCTGATGCCACATTCTTCTTCAGGGAATCCAGCATCTCAAATAATATGCTCAGCATATAGATTAAATAAGTATGGAGAAAGGATATACCCCTGATGCATACCTTTCTTAATTATAAACCATGTTCCCTTGTTTTGTTCACAAAATAGCTTCTTGGTCTAGGAATAGGTTTGGCATGAGCATAATTAAGTGCTCTGGGATTCCCATTCTTCTCATTGTTAACCATAATTCGTTATGATCCACACAGTCAAATGCCTCTGCATAGTCAATAAAGCACAAATAGACATTCTTCTGGCATTCTTTGCTTTCAGGATCTCTCTGACATCATCAATGATATTGCTGGTGCCACGGCCTCTTAAATCCAGCTTGAACTTCTGGCAATTCTCTATTTACTGTGCTAGCTGTTTATGAATGCTCTTCAGCAGTATTTTGCTTGTCTGTGAGAGTCATGGTATTGTTTGATAATTTCCACTTTCTATTGGATCATCTTTCTTGGGAATGGGAACAAACATGGACCTCTTCCATATCTAAGATGGCCAGACACATATGCTCCAAATTGCCTGGCACAGATTGGTAAGCATGTCCAGGGCTGCATCTGTCATTTGAAATAAGTCAATTGGTATTCCATCGATTCCTGGGGCCATATTTTTTTGTAATTCCTCCACTGCAGCTTAAATTTCTTCCTTCATAACCACTGGCTCTTGATCATATGGTGCTTCCTGAAATATTTCAGTATAGGCCAGTTCTTTTCTGTATAGTGATTCTGATTCCTTCCATCTTCTTTTGATGCTTCCTGGTTCATTCAAGATTTTGCCTATAGCATCTTTTAAGTGTTGCAACTTGAGGCTTGAATTTTTTTAGTTCTTTGAGCTTGAGAAATGTTGTGTGAACTCTTCCCTATTTCTTCTCCAATTCTAGGTCTCTGCACTTCTGATATAATAGTTTTGTTTTTTTTTAATATTTTTTTTGTGTGTGTGAGTGTACCATCAAATCAGATCTGAGTGGTACAGGAGGAGATTGTTCCTCCTTTTCTCGGCAGAGCATCTGGTGGATTCGAACCGTGTGCCTCTGGGATTGTAGTTGCAGCTCCTTGCCACTAAGGCACCAGAGCTCCCCCTGATATAATAGTTTGATTTGTCTTCTTGAGCTTCCCTTTGAAATCTTTTATTCAGCCTTTTTACTTCAGGATCTCTTCTTTTTGTTTTGGCTATTCGATGCTCCAGTGCAATTTTCAGGGTCTCTTCTGACATCTATTTTGGTTTTTCTTTCTCTTCTTTCTTTGTAATGACCTTTTGCTCTCTTTATGGATGATATCCTTGATGTCATCTCACAACTCATATGGTCTTTGATCTTTGGTGTTCAATGTTTCAAACCTATTCTGATGTCAGAAAATACGGACTTGGTGACAGAAAGGAGGCTAGTAATACAATGATAAAATTTTGTATGTTCAATGATTTACAAATACCTTTTTAAAAAACACAAACTGCAACTTTACACATGGACTCTATATGAATGTGGACTACATTTGTGGAAGGAATTGCTGGAGAAGCTCAATATCAGAAGTTAAAATCAGACTAGAAACAGACCATTAATTAGTTATGTGCAAGTTCAAACTGAAGCTGAAGAAAATGAAAACAAGTCCATGAGAATATGTAGCTAGACAGAAGAGAATAAAGAAGATATTCACTATCCTAGGAAGGTTTATTAGATACCACCGGGCTACAGTTAGATTGTATGTTCATACTGACTTTAAAAAAGGGTAAAGCTTTCAGTCAATTTATTCATTGGTGGAAAAAAATATAAAAATAAACCCAAAAGGCAAACAACAAAAACCTAAAGGTTTATCACCCAGAGATTACGACTTTTTAATGTGTTTCTGTTCTTTCCCCTTAAGATAAAGTGTATGCGTATGTACAATTATCCAAGTATATAACCACACATTTACACAAATGATTGTACATACACACTCACATACACATAATTGACACTATAGTTAAAGTTTTAGATACTGATTTTGAAAACTATAACATGCAACCTTTTTTCTGTATTAGTAAACATTATAAAAACTTTTCTATATTTTTATCTGGTTTTAAAAATAAACAATAAGGGGAGCTCTGGTGGCCTAGTGGCAAAAAGGTGCACTACAATCCCAGAGGCAAATGGTTAGAATCCACCAGATGCTCTGCCGGGGAAGGAGGGACAATCTCCTCCTGTACTAGTCAGATCTGATTTGACGGTACACACAAATAATAAAATAAAAATTAAAAAAATAAAAATATAAACGATAGAAAACACAATCTTATGGATAGCACTTAATGTAGTTCACTACTACCACTTTCATTTGACATTAAGGTTATTTTCAATTCTTGTTCTTAATGTGGTTTAAAAGGAAAAAAAATCTTGATTGTACATAAATCATTGAGTGTTGTCAGATTGATTTCAACTCATAGCAACCCAGTAAACAAAGAAGAACTGTGCCATTGGGTTTTTCAGCTGTAATCTTGGGAACAGATCACCAGGTCTTTTGTTCCTCAACTCAGCTGGTGGGTTTGAATCAATGATCTTTCAGTCAGAAGCTGAACTCCTTGGAGCTCTGGTTAAAAGGTCTGGAAAGAGTTTTAAAGTCAGTGTTATGTTCTGCTAAATTATCCTCTAGAAATGTACTGTAATGGGATGTGGCATTGAATGAAAACTTTGATTAAAAATAAGGAGACATTACTGAAATAATAAAAAAAAGAAATGTAAACACATTCCATTAAACTACATAGGTTTTAAAAATAGATTGTTAAGATAGTAGTTTTTCTAGATAGTTTTGTTACATAGTCTAGCAGTAGTGTTTCTGCTCTATCAGAAGAAAAAGAAGTCTTATGGAAATTTACCAAGTCTGTACTGTTCTTTGTAGAAGGAATTTTCAATCCAGGGGTACAGAATGTAGGAGGCAAGGGTGAATTTGAATGTACAGCATCTAGAAGACATGAGAAACATCATAAAAATAAAGCTGAAATAAAGATTTGTTACAAGCTTTATCAAGATAGTTTGTCTATTTCATTTCCAGTAACTTAAAAAAAAAGCTAATTTGAGTATTTATGTGACTAGACTCAAAAATATAAAACTATTATTATTCTCATAAATATTATTAGCAGTAACATTAGTATTTGGGAGAAAAATGGGCAACTCCTCCCATGCTATTAACTGCCTCTGAAAACATGATGCAGAGTCAGCTATGGATCAGTTCCAACTCGACAGCACACAACAACATTAGTATAAATGGCCAGGGATTAAAAAATGGACTATTAGAACATATAAAGGATACTATGAGTAGAATGCATCAGAGAGCTGGGCAATGACTAGGGAGGATAGAAGGAGAATTGATGCCTTTGAGCTGTGGTGCTGGAGAAGAGTATTGAATGTACCATGGACTGCCAAGAAAACCAACAGATTCATACTGGAGAGGGTTAAACCAGGCTGCTCCTTGGAGGCAAGGATTCTGAGGCTTTGTCTGACATACTATGGACATGTTGTAAGGAGGGTCAGGTCCTTGGAGAGGGACATCATGCTTGGGAGGGTGGAGGGACAGTGTAGAAGGGAAGACCCTCTATGAGGTGGATTGATTCAGTGACTGCGGTAATCGGGATGGGTGTGTCAGAGGCAGGGCAATTGGCACAGGATAGAGCAGGGTTTAGGGCTGCTGTACATAGGGTCGCTATGAGTCGCAAGCGACTCAACGACACATAACAACATGAGTAGAATCAAGTTGATAGAGATATTTGATATCCAAAGCACAGTATTATTAAAATCAAACTCACTGCTATCAAGTCAGAACCAACTCACAGTTGATATTCCAGCAGGTTTTTAAGAGGTTTTAAATGGCATGAGAGGAGATGTCTATCTTTCTCTTCTGGAGCAGCTGCTGGATTTGAACCGCTCACCTTTGGGTTGACAGTGCAACTCCTTACTGACTAGGCCACAAGAGCTCTCAAGGTGGTCTTATCCCCTAGGGAGTTGTTGCTAACCTAAAAGGGATCAGTTTCTAGCAGTTCGGATCTAGCAGTGGCCCCACAGGAGAAAGATGGGCAATCTCCTCTCATGCGATTTACACAGTCTGTAGCACTTGTTAGAAGGTCAGGTATGAGAGAAAGTTATTATTAACATATCCTAAAAAAAAATTAACCGAAAACATAAGCATGTCAGGAGAATGATCTGACTGGCAACATTCATTAAGTTGAAAACCACCAGCTGGAAAGAGATAGAGAAACAGGAACTGATTCCTGTTTCTGGCTCTGCTGGTGAGAAGTGGAATTAGAACATATTCAATAGTGAAGATCTAGCATTTCCTAAAATAAGTGATGATGTGCATACCCTCTGTGATGCACAAATTCCACTCCGAGGTGTGAATGGAGAGAAATAGATGTGATAATTTTACCAAAGCACCACACAACTGCCTCACAAGGTTTCCAAAGCTGTAATATTTTTTTGGTTCCAAATGTCACTGTATTTACATTCAGCTCAGCTCCAACAAACGCATCATTACAGTGCTGAGAAAGGAGCCACTTCTCACACAGTCCAACAATGGGTTACTGTGTGCGGTAGACTTCTTTGGAAAGTTCAAGACACTTGAGAAAAATCAGACTAAACACCATCCTTGCAGATGAGTCTCCACAATGTCATCCTTACAGAGGCCAATCGCCACAACACCTAGTGGGTCTGACCACCAAATTTTCAATTAGTAGTAGTCGTCAATCATCTTCTAAAAAGATTATAATCCAGTGATTTCAGAGTACAGACCTTTCTCCATAAAAGGAAATATGGAGAGGTCTTTTAGTCCTAAAACGTTGTTTTTAAAATAAGCTTCTTGCTATTGTTAAGTGAGGTCGTCGAGTCGCAGGCAACTCATAGCGACCCTATTAATGAAAATCCCAGACACTTCCGGTCTAACTTTCGCCCTTTCTCCAGATTCATAGGGTTTCTGGAGGGAAGTTATTGTGGATGCCACTCCTGTTTCCAAGCTTGTTTTCATTGGGGAGCTTCACCGAACACTGTCCACCATGGGTAAACAGTATTTGGTTTCACAGCAACCATGAGTTACCTCTGTACAGCAAGTGGACATATCAGGGTTACATGACCTAGAAGAATGTTTCACCAAAAATAATTAAAGGCAGGCCTGATGGCCGCGGAGTAGAGTCACCTACCTTTGGCTTGGGAGCATGGCTTTCTGTCTGCTGGGCCAACAAAATAATCTTATATGATTTTTAATTTTTCTTAAAGTCAATGAAATTAGTACAAAAAGAGCTTTCCTCTGAAACTGTGTTAAAACCTTCAAAAGACCTTATAAAATACAAAAAGTTATCAACATATTTGCTGTTGATAAGACAATCATAAAAAAATTGACTCAAATAATAATTATATGATTTTGTATTTGATATTTTCATTAAAACAAGTTTTCTAAAAAAAACAAGTTTTCTGAGGAAAGATGACTTAGAACTATGTCAGGCTCTGGCCAAATATGGGGAGAAATAAGTACTACTGGCTGTACAATAAAAAAAAAACCTGGTGCTCAGTCAGTCAGACAGTGCCCAGAGACGCTTCTGGAACAGTGCCTGCCCAAGGAGAACCCCAAGACCAGTTCAAAACTCATGTTGGTGGGTAATGGTGTTACTGGAAAAATGTTTATTATCTAATGTTATCTAACTGGTGAATTAGAGAAGTGTGTAGCCACCCCCACGTACTACACTGAAAGAGGACCAATTAAATTCAACGTGTGGGATTCCGCTAGCCAGGAGAAATTTGGGAGACTGAGGGATGCCTTTTATCTCCAAGTCCAATGTGCCATTACCTACAGAAACATGCCTAACTGGCACATGGATCTGGTTTGAGTATGTGAAAATATCCCCATTGTGTTGTACGGCACCAGAGTGGGCATTAAGGACAGGAAAGTTAAGGCAAAATCCATAGTTTTCCACCAAAAGAAGAATCTTCAGTTTTAAGATATTTCTGCCTTTCCTGTGGCTTGCGAGGAAATTGGAGATTCTAACTTAAAGTTTGTTGCCATGCCAGCACTCACCTCACCAGAAGCCGTTTTGGACCCACTCTGGCAGCACAATATGAGCATGAATTAGAGGCTGCACAGACAACTGCCCTCCCAGACGAGGATGATGGTTATTGAGAGAACGAAGCTGGAGCCCAGCATCAGGAGTCTAGTATTGTAGGCAATTGTCCTGTGATGTCAGTGGTGCTGGGGATTTGCTACTTTATTATCTAGCTAAGCAGAGCATGTACCAATCTTTGGGAGGCTGAAGGACATGAATGGGCTTTGGAGTGAGACTGGCAGTTTAAAAAAACCCTTCATTTTTGGACCTGCATATTTAGCCATTTTGGAGGGCATTTGTTAAAACTTTCAAGTTTCAAACAAGATTGCAACAGTCACATCATAGTATTTGTGGTGAAATTTTGTTTGTTACTGTCATTCTAATTCATTTTCATCTAGAACCAGAATAAAGTTGTATTACAAATATCTAAGCAAGAGAATTTAACCCTTGTTTATAAGATTTTTAAAACCACTGCAAAGGAACTTTGTGCTGGGTTGCTATTTTAAAAGACTGTTATTATCACATATATAAAATATTGTTCAGTTAATTACTTTTAACATTTTTAATGTATTTCATTATCATGACACAAACTGGCTGGCTATGACAAAGGATTTGATTAAAAATGAAGTATAAAAAAATCAGCCAAAATCACCTGGTGAATAAATTTAATTAATTTCAATTAAATAAATTTAAACACTAGAAAAGAAAAATAAGATGAAAAATAATCAGAAAGGGTATTAAAAATATGCCAGAAATTGACATCCTTTTCCTGCATGAAATCATGCTGGACCAAATGGAATACATCTATTCCTATTTGTCAGCAATCTAGTTATCCAACATTTCACATTTACAATATTAGTAATAATAAATCTACTATCTATTTTGTGCATTAATGGAGGATAGAAGGAGAACTGATGCCTTTGAGCTGTGGTGCTGGAGAAGAGTATTGAATGTACCATGGACTGCCAAGAAAACAAACAGATTCATCATGGAGAGGGTTAAACCAGGCTGCACCTTGGAGGCAAGGATTCTGGGGCTTCGTCTGACATACTTGGGACATGCTGTAAGGAGGGTCAGGTCCTTTGAGAGGGACATCATGCTTGGGAGGGTGGAGGGACAGCGCAGGAGGGGAAGGCCCTCTATGAGGTGGATTGATTCAGTGACTGGGGTAATCAGGATGGGTGTGTCAGAGGCAGTGCGACTGGCACAGGATAGAGCAGGGTTTAGGGATGTTGTACATAGGGTCGCTATGAGTCGCAAACGACTCGACAGCACATAACAACAATGATGTACATCTAGCTGAGATGCAAGGTGACAGTAATGCTGGCTGGGTTGCTCACTTGTCTAGTTGGCAGGCAATGGTTCTCAGGAGGTTGAAAATTATGAATGCAATTTGGCAGCTACATAATGACATAGTTCTCTTCCAGTTTGGCATAGCATCAATTTCATATAACAACTTGGTCTTTGGAACCTCACCATGCTGATAAGTGAGCAGTGGGTGTAGTCCTTACTACAACTCAAGAAATAATGTCACAGCTACTATACTAGAATGTTTCAGGTGAAAGCCTCATTTTTGCATACACATCATCTGATAGAGCACAGCTGAGAGAGAGCTTGATTTTTATACCTACCATTTCTTTCCAACTGCATGCCGGTAGGGCCAGGAGAGACAAAATCAGTGGCCACTGGTTCTGTTTCTATGGCTTCTTCACTGGCATGGTCATAGAGAAATCGTAAAGAAAAAAAATGTTAACATCAAATTGCTGGGAAAAAAGTTTATTGTGTTTCAAGTCTAAAGTAATGTTAAATTCTGCTTTATGGAATAGAAGTCTCAAGGAACAAATCTTTCGTTTTAAAACTCATGACTTAAAAGAAAATTAAGAACCAAGTTTTAGTAATGTCTTTGACTTCAGCCAGGGTTATTAATTTCAGATCCAAAAGAAAAGCAGTAAGTCCTATTCATGAACTCAAATACAAAAACTATATATATAGTTTATGCCTTCAAAAACATAAAGCTGAATTTGGTAAGTAATAATTTGTTATTTTTTGAGACTAAATAGCCCCATTCCATCATCTCATTAAGCTGTCCTAGACAATTACTCAGATCTCTAGAACATAATAAATAGGTAGCTGCAGTCGGCCATTGAGTTGGAACCAACACACAGCTGACCTTCCAGCAAGTTTTCAGAGACTATAAATCACAGGAGAAGGAACTGCCCATTACTTTTTCTGTGGAGCAGCTGGTGGATTTGAACCATGTGTCTTTGAATTGGCAGCACAACTCATTAACCACTAGGCCACCACAGTATCACTAAGTATTACAAGTTAGTTCAGAATTTATTTAAGTTAGAGTATTTCCAATTTTGAATTGGTACATAATCCTTAACATCCTGTGTTAACATTTAAAAAAAAGAGTGAGTGTAAAATAAGTCACACATACAAAAGAATGTATATAGAGTGTAAAAATTTTAAAAGTAACAAAATGCACAGGAGTCTAGAGCGAGGGCTGCATGGTGGAGGGGGCCTGGGGGGTGGTTTGTGGAACAATGAAAGAATCTTTTCTTTTACTTTTCCATAATTTTTGACTCATGTACTTATAACTTGTTAGTCAAATTTGTGTCTTCTAGGTTGCAACACCCCATGATACATCTTCAAGGATATGAACATGTATGGCCAAGCACAATCAATAAGAGTGCATCTAAATTCCAAAATCAATCTCCATAATAGTCTATGTGTTTCCTACCGCCAAAGGGGCCCTTTAGAGTAGTGAGAGAAGATCTTCACCCTGAAACCCACAGCGTCCCTTTTCAGCAGGAAGTAGCTAAGAGAATACGCCATCCCCTTTTCCTTATGACTCAGGGTGAAGTCTCTCTCAGGGAGGAGTGATAGGGAATGGCAAAGGACACACTGACGAAGATTAATCAGAACTGGCTTTGACAAGCACTGTGGCATTTGGACAAGAACAAACTGGGAGGAGGGTAGAGAGAATGGTGCAGCGGTGAATGAATGGAAACCCAAAATCTCTGTAAATGTTTATGAAAATTAATAAAATATAACAAAAAAAAAGTAACAAAATGAACATCTATTTATCCATTCTTATGCTTATGAAATAAAACACCAGCAGTGCTTTTGCTGTCCTCTGTGAACTGTCCCAACTGTCCTCTCTTTCCCTTGGAGAGTAATCCCTGCACCTCAGATTTGCTGGGTCCTTCACTTATCTATGCAGCAGATTTTTTTATGCATGTTTTTGAACCTGCTAGAAATGAAATCATAGTGATGTATTTATATCACTACATATTTTCTGATTTATTTCTCTTAAATCCATCCCTATAAGTAAAATTTCATATAGGCTTTCTTAAATACTGTCCAGTTGCACTACAACATAATAAACATATTTCAATATACATCCTAAATACCATACTGCCCTTTTTTACATTATTTCATTCAATATTAATAAATAAAAACCTGAAAATTGAATATATACATCTAGACATGTGGAAATTAAAATCTCATTTTCATTTTATTACTTATGAGGTTAAGCAGATGATATTATGTACGTGTTCTCAGTATTATTATTATTTTTTTTTTTAAAGACGAGGTTTACTAGTCTGATAGAGACTGGTGACATCCCCATGCCTCTTAATGGAGCTCTGGGAGCCTAGTTGTCAGGAACTGCACTGCCAACCCAGAAGCAGGCAAATCTATCAGTTGCTACTCAGGAGTAACATGGGCAACCTCCCAAGTGTGATTTTCAGCCTCTCCTCTGAAAACCCACTGCACGGTGAGCTATGAGTCGGTTCTAACTTGCACCATGTAACAGCAACAACAATACGGTCCTCGGTCACCCACCAGCCCTGAAAGTGAAATCCTCTCAACTTTCAGCCAAACCACAGATAAGCCTATAAGGTGATCAGGAAGGAATGCCAGGTAGCAACACTTTCCTTATAACAATCAACCACAGGAGATCAAAAAGGCAGCACTTGCCTAGGAATCAAGCTCAGAAAGCAGGAAGGGACAGGAAAAAATGGGATGGAAACTGGAAACATGAGGAAGAAGCACACAGCTCCCACCTGAGGACCATAACTGATGGTCAGAACACATCTACTGCTATCTAGAGGATCCCAGTTCATGGCAGCCCTCCCTCAGTTCTCCTAGGCTTGTAACATCAATGGGAGCAGACTGTCTTATCTTTCTCTGGAGGGGTTCTTGGTGGGTTTGAACCACCAACCTTTTAATTCATAATCTAACACATAAGCCACTATAACCATCAGTGTGTCTGAATTCTGTATGAAAAATCAATTTGCTCTGTGAACTTTCACTCAAATCATAATAAAAATATGGGGAGGAGAAGAACTGCTGGGTGTTTGTCTTTTATTATTAAACTTAAAATTAGTTTTTAAGACTGATAACATGAAACATGAAATTTTCTACTGCCCAGCCTAACTGATGTGAGACAATTAAATGCCTTTCTTAAAGCTTTGAAAATATAAATATATATAATGCACACCCATGTTTATTGCTATGTTATTCACTACTGCAAAGACAGAAGCAACTCAAACGCTCAACACAAAATGAATGCATAGAAAAGCTATGGTATATTCACATAGTGATATATGATGCAGTACTGAAAAATAATGAACTCATAAAACATTACACAACATAATGGAGACTGGAGGACATTATGCTGAGTGACATTATCTCAGTCTCAAAAGGACAAAGACGATGGGGAGCTGATGGGCATAGAGGGAAGTGGATAATGAACACTGCAGTAGAACGACTTTTCAAAAGGAATATATGATTAGGCATTATATGTACGACAACAATTTGGAACAAGGGGTGCAATGAGGGGTGTGCTAGGAAAGGGGGAAGGGTGAGAGGGAAAGAAAATGTGCAACAATGAATTTAAAAAAATAGATATGATATCATACATATTTGTTATAATGATTTTTTCTGATTTGTCATTTTGTGCTATCCTCCAAGGGTTTAAATTTTTGTTGTTGTTGTTGTTTAAATTTTTTATGTAGATTTCTTCACTATGATTTCTGATTTAGAGGTGATATCATAAATAATTCTCTATGATTGGCTATGTTTGTTATTTCTAGTTTCCTCCTATTATCATTATTAAGATTATACAAATATTACTGTCAGGAACCTCTCCAGAGTACTAAAGAGCAACGATGTCAGTTTAAAAACTAAGGTGCACTTGATCTAAAACATGGTCGTTTCAATTACTTACTAGGCTTCTGGAAATTGAACAATGCCTAAGGATATGACTCTTTTGAGTTGTGATGCTGGAGTAGAGTACTGAGTACCCATCCCATGGATTGCCAAGAGAACAAACAGGTCTGTTTAGGAGAATGTGAAACCCGGGTGCTCCCTTGGAGACAAAGATGACATAACTACGTCCCACATATTTTGGGCATGTTGTATGGAGTGACTAGTCCTCGGAAAAGAACATCATGCTTGGAAATGCATAAGGTCAGCTTAAGAAAGGAAGATCTTCAATGAGATGGATTGAGACAGTGTCCATGACAATGGGTTCAAGTATATGGGAGATGGTGAGGATGGCACAGGATAGGACAGGATTCAGGGCCACTCTTCTTTCATAGGTTGTTAGGAGTTGTAGTCCACATGATGACACACAAAACCAACAAAATCAAATAGTAAACTCAACCCAGTGACTGTGAGGAAGACCTGGCAATCTGTTTCTGTAAAATGTTATGGTCAATAAAACCCTAAGGATAAAATCTAGAAACCAACCAGCCAAACAAACAACTCCCGCCACCCCCCAAAAAAATACAACTTTGCCACAACAGGCAGTGTTATGAGAAATGGAAGGAGTATATAAAACATTTCAACATTTAAAATTAGCCCATCTCATAAAACATTTATAAGATTAGCACATGAAGCACTGAATTCTTTTAGCATTTAAATACAACAGTTCACAATGGAGAAGAGATTGAGATAGTTAACAGTTACAGCTTGCTTGGCTCCACAATCAACACTCTTGACACCAGCAATAAAATCAAAAGAAGAAAAAAAAAATAAAAATCAAAAGATGAATCGCATTAGGTAAATCTGCTTTCTGGGGCCTTTCTGGAGCACTGAGAAGCAACAATGTCAGTCTAAAGACTAAGGTGCGCCTGATCCAGGCCATGGTCTTCACATTACTTGCTATTATGCATCAGAGAGCTGGACAATGACTAAGGATAACAGAAGAATTGATGCTTTTGAGTTGTGGTGCTGGAGAAGAGTCTTAAACATATCATGGACTGCCAAGAAAACAAACAAGTCTGTCTTGGAGAGGATGAAATCAAGTTTGTCCTTGGAGGCTAAGATTTTGAAGCTCTACCTCATATACTTTGGGCATGTGGCCAAGAGATCCTTGGAGGACAGTGCAGGCGGGGAAGACCCTGGATGAGCTGGATTGACACAGTATATGGGGTACTGGGGGTGAGCGTTTCAGAGTCACTGAGACTGGCTCAGGACAGGGCAGGCTTCAGAGCTGTTGTACACAGGGTTGCTAGGAGTAGCAGGCAACTTGATGGCACAGAACAACAGCATTTTAACATAGAAAAAAGTTTTTTTTACTGTTATCACTGTTGGGTCTAGTATGACCCATAAGCGACCCTATGAACAGATATGAACCCTGTCCTGTCTGTGCCATCTTCACACTTCCTGACACACTAGAGTCCATTGTGGCAGATACTG